CTGACTCACTATCGCTTGTGAGTTATACTCGGGTTACCTCACTGACTCATTCATCACTATCGCTTGTGACCTCACTGACTGATCCACTATTGCTTGTGAGTTATACTGGTTACCTCACTGACTGACTGCTACGTGTGCACTTACACTAGGCTGGTGCCAGCTTTACGAGGCTTGCCTATGCATGTATGTGATGTGCATTACTCTGACGCCGCAAGTTTCATAGACTTTTATGATACATGTGCAGGCAATAAGTCAAGTTTTTATGCGAACGGCGATAGTGGTCCTTTCGTTTCCATCACGTTATAACTGCAGCCTACATTCTGAATCAATTGAATTGAATTTTGTGATCTCTGGGACCGGTTTTACCTTGCCTTGTGGTAACACGTCGGAAAGACAACTGTGATGGTGCAGATTCGCAAAGCATTGTTCGCCTGCTATTTTAATTGCATTCGGTGCGCACGTGCCATGCGCATACATATGGAAATGTTGTCCCGGGTCATGGGGCAAGAGAAGTCGTCCAATGAGAGCTCATACAACTAGAGGTCACCACCAGCGCTCTGGGGATTGGGCGATGGGAACGAGCGAAGCCAGCTAGGGGCTCAGACAATGGAGCACTTGGTGGCGCTATTAAGGCGACATAATAAGCGGGTTCGCAACCTCGTGCCCAGTGCTTACTTTATTTCCAACCTCGTTTCCAATAGTAATCCCTGGATAGGAAACTTTCTTCCTGTATCCTGATTCAACACCGCAATTGGCCAGTAATGGATATCGTGTACTGTAATGTTGCGTGTTATTTCCAACGTGCATTACGTGTTTTCAAGTTCATTTTAATTATTACGTTCCACACCTTCCCAAAAATAATCCTTTCCTATCCAACTTGTTCATATTAATATGAAATGTGATACTGCATATTGGCAGGAGATGAGGAGATTGTAACATTTAAACTTTGAACATTTACCCCAGACACCGCATACAAAAACAAATCCTATACGTAAAGCACAGGCAGGCACCAGACTATTCCTAATTGCATTCGTGTTCAAAAAATGTGCACATGCAAATGATCCAATACCATGCAGGGCTAGAGAGCAGGTAGTGGTGGGTGCTTACTGCTCGACACTCTGGGACCCATGGTGATCGTTGGCGATTTCGGTATTCCAACTCAACATTTGCCGATTTTTCTTTAGGGATAAACATTTCATCGTACGCGTACGAAAGCAAGGCAGGGTACCAGCAAAATTGAAGAGATCATCGTATTCTGAAGTATAACATTTTGCAAAACTTTGAAAAAAAGTTTGGAAAGCGAAGTTTTTGTAGGTGTCTTGTGACGTGTCCACACTTTTGTGCGAACGACAGTTCAATCTATTTTTGATTGCACGAAAAATTTCACAGAATGCAGATTATGCCCCCTAGCCTTGTGTGTATTTATCTGCCGCGGTTATTCCGAAAAAAAATCGTCGAATCGTGCTGGTGCACCGGACTATTTTGGAAAACCGTACTCGCTTATTATGAGGAAGACGATTTTGTTGACATAAATGACTGATGGGCTTCAGTCACACCTCTACACTCCCTCTAGCGACGCCCGTGGTCAACACTTGACGTTTCGATCAGTGAAAACGGTTAGACAGTGTATGGACTCTGGGCATGAACAGTAATGCATGCTACGGTACCACTTAAGCCTGCACTAGCTCCAACAGTGGGAGAAAAACAACCGGTCCCCATGGCATGCAGTACGCCTAGCTTCCAATATCCCTGGTGTATTTACACTTGTCTAGATCATATGCATTCACGTTCAAAAATCTTGCGCATTATTATTAGCTGCGGAATAGTCAGGTGCTTGGCCAGGGCGCGGGGGGGGGGGGGGGGGGGCGGGGGGGGGGGGGGGGGGGTTCATGCCATATTTTCAATGGGGAGCGCCAATAAAATCCTAAAATCATTCACACTATATTAACTAATGCACCCTTGTCACGGCTATTTCTTCTTTAAGGGGAGACCGTTCGCATGTACATCACAATCCTTCTTTTGCTAATGCAATTTGTTTTTTAAGGAATTTATTTTTTGGGGGGCTAGACAAAAAAAATTTTTTTGGGGGGGGCTACAGCCCCCCTAGCCCCCCCCCCCCCCCCCCGTAGAACCGCGCCTGGCTTGGCCATACTTTAAATCAGTGTTTGAAAATACATGTTTTTTTCCCCACAAACTTAAAACGTTATAATCTTATCCATCCCGTATGCAGTTTTTACACTCAATAATAATTATGAGCAGTGGAGTGCTGTGGCCTCGTGGTTAAGGGCACTGATTCGTGGTCTAAGGGGAAAACTGCGGGTTGTGGGTTCGAGTCCAGCCGGGGTCATGGTGCGTGTGCCCTTGAGCAAGGCACTTTGTCACTCATTGCTTCCCTCCACCCAGGAGTAAATGGGTACCTGTGAGGGCTGAGATGGTTATTGTGATTGAATAAGCTTGCTTGCGCCTCAGCATCGAGCTGTATACTCCCCAGGGAGCTGAGATGGCATTTGGAATGTTTAATTGGCCCAATGATCAGGGGTAATAATATACTGTAAGCGCTGTGATTTAGTTTACTAATAAGAGCGTTCTTAAATGCCGATTCTTAAATGGGCGGATTGTTTTTGAGGAGGATTGGACGCAATAATCACAATGAGCGTTAAAACGCGTAATACACGTTAGACATAAAACCACCAAGTACATACACGATATAAATCCATTACTTGCTATTCCGGGATGGAATAAGAATTCAGGAAGTATGTTTCCCTGGCAGATGCTTTCCAGTACACCTCCAATTAAGCGTTCGCCCCCAACTCTCTCCTTGGAACCGCTGACGGGGTACTTGTACACGGCGGACCCATGGGCGTCGCGAGGGGGGGGGGGGGGGGGGCAAGGGGAGCGCTTGTCCCCTGGACAAGCAAAAAAAAAAAAAAATCATATTGTTGTTAATTAAATGGGGTGGGGGGGGGGGGAATGTCCGTGCCCACCCTCGAAAAAATAATCAATCGGGAAAAATGCTGGAAAATCTAGGGATTTTGTGAAAAAATGGCTCGCCCCCCTCCAGAATAAAATCCTGGCGACGCCCATGCACGGACCCCATAGTTTTTAACACTGATGAATTCGGCAAAGTTTAAATCTCATCTACAAATTACTGTCACCAGTCAGTCTTACAAAATCTAATTATTTAATGCAATTTATTTAATCCTTTTACCATCAACGCCATTCATGTCATGGTTGCTGTCGCTGGTTTATGGCCCGAAAAAAACATTGGGTGGGATCTCGGGAGCTATCATCTCGGGGCCTACGTCGTGACAGTATACCACGCATACTCTGGCTAATTACATCGGGGGAAAATCCTAATTATATCGGGGGAAAATCCTAATGGTTCCAGCTATAAATGGCAAATAGCGTGCACCTGGCTTTTAGGCCTATTAATTGAAGCTCTTTCAATGCACATGCATTAAGAGCAGGAAGTGGAGTTCCATTTCGCGCCACCATCAGACCAGACATTATTTGTTTAAGTAGATTGTCTCTCATTGTTTTTACCCAAGGTGGATTTTGTGGAAATAGGATGACGTCAATTGTCCCGATCAACATCCAGCCTCATCTATTATGCAGTCCACATAATGATTTTGTTTTTTCCTGCACGGTCATGAGATGTCCCTTCTCGGGCATTTTGATTTTTTTGGACGTATAGTTTTCTTTGACACCTCGAAAGCCACGGCAGATGCAACTAACACTGCCTGAGTTCTCTCAGTTTGCTCCACAGTCGGTGAATTTTAGCGGTAAACATGTTAAATTGAATCTGAGTAGTCCATCTATGGCAAGCTGCCGTGATAAATCGAAAATGCCATCCGATACGTCCATACTATAGGCATGATTCACAAGGGGCACATTACACAAACTAAAACAAACTAACCGGGTAACTTTACACACTACCAACAATCCCCTACACTTCAAAATATTGCTTAGTAAACATTTATCACGTGATTATTTCTTGCTCATGAATGGTCAGGTGAGCTTTAGCCACCAGCAAAAAGAACATGGCTAAACGTAAACCCGTTTGACATGGCGCATTTTTATATGCCAATCTTAAGAAGAATTTAAACTGCAGATTCAATGTGTAAACCAATCCTTATATTATAGCTATTAGGTTATTTAACAAATTTGGGGAATGGCACAGGTAATGACAATGAATCAGTCTACATAATTAACGATGTTTAAAGTCAAAGCATCCCTTTCCGAAGGGGCAGTTTTTGCAAGAAAAATTTCCCTTTTTTATACGTAGTTAACAAACGTTCCACATCCCAAATCTTGAAATGCACCACCGGTGACACCTGAAGAAAACAGAATTGTTTAACCACTATTAACCGAGTATAATCATTTTTTGTAAAGACTGTCTCATTTTCACTCGCCTTCAATGTGCTATAATCCTCAAAGAAATTTACCCAAATGTCAACCCCCCCTAACACAAATGGTCAAGCAAGACATGATAAGCTGCATGGTAAAAAAGCACACAAAATTAGAATCACTGGATTCAGAATGATTATTCAGTTGCAGTCTTTCCATGTATCACTCGGATTTAGCCCATTGATTGTCGTGACGGGGTAATCCTATACGATAGCATTGCCCAGCTCAAATGTGACACTAAGTCAGCCAGTATTTATCAGGGGTGTGAGTGACCACTGATAAAAATAGCTGAAAACAGCTGAAAAAGGTGTAAAAAAGCTGAACTTTGGAAATCTCCTATACTTCTGTACACAGCAAGTGAGGGAAAAAGCTGAAAAAAGGGTGAAATCCAACACACAAAAAAGCTGAAATCAGCTTTAAAGCTGAGATTTCACACCCCTGATTTATACCAGTCAGTGCGTCAGTCGGTCAGTGAGATAGGTACATTAGGTTGGCCCTCTGGGACCAGCAACAAAACTCGAGCATGAATTACAAATTTAAGTGCTGCCCTGTCGACAAATGCCTCCCCGGGGTGGGGAGACAACGACACTCACCACTGCATTGTCGATCATGTCCAGGCCAGCCTTGCTGCCCCTCCGAGGTGAAAAGACGCCGGTATCTGCGCTCAGTGTCCGGTTCCGCTTCCTCATGTATCTCTTGAAGGCAATCAGCCCGAACAGAGCCGCTATGGTCACCAGCACGAACACGACGGACGCGGTGATGCCGATGATCAGGTTCCACGTGTACTGACTCGGGGTGAAGACGTCGTCACCGGCACGGGGGATGGTATTCTCGGCCGGAGATTGCTTGGTGAGACCGGCATTATCGTCCCAGCCGACCCCGGCGGTAGAATGTGGGAGAAGTTGGTAAGGTGCGTCTTCGGTCATCAAGTTTGTTGATGGAGGAAGCGACTCAGTACCAGTCTCATATCCAGGCGCCATTTTTTTTTTGGGGGGGGGGGGTGTTAAATTCGTACCTCCAGATCCTTGCCGAGTAGGCTACGGTCTGTTGGTTTCTGTACTCTTCTTCTGCAATCCTTGTTTTCGTTACAAGCAACCGAAGCAATTTATCTCAGACAGAACACAACAAAACATGTTATGGTTCGACTTAATCACGACATGATCGTAGTTGCCAATCAAGATATCCCGGCGCACCGTTTTATTAAGCGGCAGCAATTTTGTTATTTTAACGCTCAGTTACGCGGCAACGGATCTCTCGCCCGATCATTGCAAATCCCACGATGCGGACTCTGCCGTATCTACATCTCTAGCTCTAAGCTGGCGGTCAACTCGTTTCGGTTCTTTTCAGTGCATGAGCGTGAATTTCCAAGTGATGCGGCCCACCGCCACATAAGAATATGCGAGGTTTTCTGTAATCAAACTGGCATCGTCGCTTTTTAAAAAAAATACAGCTGTCATGATAAAGTTTCCAAAGCGAAGTGCGATATCCTCGTCTGGAAAAGAAGTAATAAACAAAACACTGTGTGTGCACTAGCGGGCTACCATCTCCTCTACGAATCCACTTGTAAACTTCGTTGGTAACTCGAGCAAGATGAAACGGGCCATAAGAGTGCACAGTACTGTCAGGTGCTCTGTGCACTTTATGTTCGGAGAAAAAGCGGTTACGATACACCAGTCACTGGACGCGACAGCAGAGACATCCTCGCTCGTATAACGCACTGTACGCCGATCTTGGTATAACTCGCCCAAACTCTGGCATGTGGACGGTGGACGCAGCAATGCAAATTACGTGCATCAAATATTTGTACTTGGCTCATGTCCCAAGTCACACGCCATCACTGCTCGTTGCAGCTGATCTCGTGTAATCCCAAACGGCCGCGTGCCACAGAGCTAAAAGAGGAATAAAAAGCCTCATCGGCTCCTCGCTATGCATCAGCCGTCGATCTGTCTTCTGATGAAGCAGGAACTTTAAAAGCTTTGACAGCCTCGGTGGGAAGGACTTAAAGGCGCTCGATTTTCAGGCACGTAGGAATATGCCTAGTGGTAATTACCGGGAAACGAACCTACTGATGTAATGAGAACAACAATCCTTAAAGTGTTGAAAAGACTGGGACCAAATACCATTTGAAATCATTCCGCCTGAATTGGTGTCGTTCGGAAGAAAAACAATTGAAGGTGGTTTTAAAAAGGGTTATACCGCAGACACACTTTTTTTAAGAGAGACGATATTCGTTAAGTGCTAAGGATTCCACATTTCCACTGGGAGCTTGAAGTCACATTCACTAACGGTCTGAATGAGAATCGTGTCCCAAACGCTAATTTAGGGATTGTACATAGACTTTCAAAGTGATAATTTAAAAATTATATTTCAAAGTACATGTAATAAACTTTGTCATACCATGGAGGTATGAAACATGACGTTTCGTATACAAGAGAGTGCAATTCAAAACACGAAACGCAACTTTTGAATCTGAAGCGCTGGCAACAGAATCCATTTACGACCCAAACAAATGTGTACATTGTTTTCTCTGTTTTCTCAACAAAGGGCAAAGTATTCACCGAACTAAAACTTTAGCAGGTTAGTGGACATGCACCCTATATGACATTTCGAGCACGTTGTTGCTTTAAACGAAAAAATGTACACACGCGCACAAACCATCCTCCATACGATAACGAATATACCGTAGACAGATGAGGTTACAATTTTATTTCAATCCGCAAAAGGTCTTGACGTTGCAATCGAAGACATTGATTTCCTCAACCAAATTAAAAGCGCCAATTCATACCTCGTCTATAATTATTGTATACTGTAGGTTTTCCCGGTTGGTTTACTAGATTTGGCAGCCAAATTGATGACGAATCACATATTTTCGCACGAATTTTGATGCACGTTTACATCAACATTTAATTAACTAAAAATGTAGAGCGTTCAAGTGAAATCTAAAAGCACATGCGATTCCACTTTTAAACGATTCACTTTCAAAAATAATGCGGTCAAATTAAAATTGGGTCATTCAAATTCACCGGAGTTCAGCTTCACGTTGCGTCAGTTTGGTGGTTCGAATTCGCCATTAAGTTGGCCTAAGCATTTGTGAAATGTGAGCAAAGGAATTCGAAACCGGTTCATGTCATTAATTTGTTGGTCAGAATTCAATGAAGTGTCTTTGTTGGAATCTAAAAATACAGAACAGCTGTTTCCCACAACATTCAGCCACAAAGCAGCAGTTAACAAAAATAACCATTATATTGATCACTTTTTTTTGCATAAAAAGAAAGCAGATGTTACTGAAATGAAGCATGTTTACGATAAAGCTAACTGAGAAAAGAGCAAAGGTAAATAATTACGAACATAATGATAAAAAAAAATATACATGTATGTGAACATGATAAAAAGAGTGCAAGGATCTTCTGAGTTTAATGTTACCTAAGTTTATAGTTTATACAGGGCGAGTAAAAAAAACGAAACCCAAATGTCGGGTCCATTGTTTTATTGAAGTTCTGCATGTAGCACTTTCAAAATCTAGAACATGAAAGCCCAATTCATAAACTTTCTTTTAGTACAAGAACCATTCAAATCACTCATGTACATTTCAAGTTACGGAATTCTAAACACAACCACCGTTTTAAAGTTCTGTCCACGGATCACAAAAAGTGTGCGTTCTTTCAGCAAAACGAAACCAATTCACACACATCCCTATGTGATTTGTTTTCTTTTTGCTGAAAGCACACTGAACTTTTTTAGTGATCTGTGGACAGCCCCTTTAAGTAAACGGTGGTTGTGTTTAAAATTCTGTAACTTGAAAAGTACATAAGTGATTTGAACGATTCTTGTACTAAAAGAAAGCTTATGAATTGGGCTTTCATGTTTTAGATTTTGAAAGTGCTACATGCGGTACTTCACAAAAACAATGGTCCCAACATTTGGGTTTCGTTTTTTTTTTTTTTTAACTCACCCTGTATGTGGACTTTCATGTAGCCTATCATCTTTAATTTTCTCGCATCAGTTTTTATGTGTACGTCCTTAGATTAAAGACAGATATACTTTGAAGACGAAACTAGATTAACCAATAGAAAAAGAACGTGTGAAAAATACCATTTTTTTTCTTCAAAACTCGCATCTTGCCTTCACTTCCCATTATTTTCAATGCAGAAAGTACTACATGTACATAGAAATTGCGGAGATGGAAAGGAAAATAAGATTGTTATGCAAATAACCCTAAACCAAACAGACAGCTAGATTGAATGATCATTTAAAACCGAACGACATCAACTTATAGTGTTAAACATGAAAATGTCATGCATGATAACGAATTTGAACGTCTGAAAGCTAATACGAACCACGGGAATGACAGCAGGGAGCGAATTCGCTTTAAAATCGGCCACTATCAAGATGAATTTGAATGCTATTTCGAAATTGGCCGAGAAAATCTATATTTCTGGTAATGATACCAAGGATTCCTCCAAAGCGCCTTATAGGCTTTGTAGGTAGCAAACCTGAAGATAGAGAGAAGACAATAAAGAAATTACAGTTTTAGAGTTGAGAGGAAAACCCCAGAAGAATATTCGGGGGAAACCCATGGAATCAGGTAGGGACTGAAAACCCAAACCACATGTGGACCAGCTATGAGAGGAATCGAACCTGGACCATAGAGGTGGAAGGCGAGGAAAGTCGTAAGTGCTGATGGCGGAATAAAAACAACACCTGATGCCATGATACTTGCATGAAGGACTACCGAGGCCTCGTTCGTTGCTGAGAATGTGTAATTCATTCTCAGTGAGTGGGTCGAATGGTATAGAGGATTTCGGTATATGGCCTTAAGCTAAAAATACAAAGCAGACTGAAGCAACACGACTATTATTTTTTACCTTCGTATTACTTTCGATTTAGCTATGTTGGGTTAGTCACCCGATGTGGAGATAATGTTTAATTCAGAAAATGTTTCTTAGCCCCCGCAGGCTCTGCTTGTTGACAGTCATTCCGTCTCTAGATCTTCGCACTTGGCATTCATTACTTCACCGGATGAATATCAAGCAAGCCACGTCTTCGTCCTCAGAAAGCATTAATGCCCTAGGTATTACTCAAAATTGATTTGCGTGTCCTTAAAATGGACATAATGGTCGGTATCACAACGCCCGCTCTTTCACTGCTACCTCTAGGTGGATAACTAAAACCTGCGTCTTCGGTTTAAAGAAAATGACATTTGAAAAGGAGAGCTACTTTTAGGGGGTGATAATCCCATGGGACTAAAACACAAACGGAATGCAGTATTATTATCTACCGAGTGGGAAATGTTATTTTGTTCTTTCTTTATCTTGTTGGTGTGCGTAGGTGGGAGGGGGTGGGTGGGGCTCACTTCGCCAGGCTATGGGTTTTATAGATATTGACAAATAACGATTCTATACCGTGTAGTCTATTCAGACTGTTAGTGCTACATCTGAAAAATAAGATGCACATTATGAGATTTGTATCGATATCTGATGATAGGAACTGACTGCTGACGGCCAAACTCGTAAATGCCGTCTTGCCCATCGGCCGAGTGAGTTTGTCGCGTGTTATACATCATTGATCGGTCATTGTGCGCCATCCGGCAGTTTGAGGCAAAACAAGTAGGTTGGCTTGGGTTTTGTCATAACTCATTTCAATCCACAATCATTGAGAAGCCTGTAATATCCACTTGAGGTACTATATATTAAGCTTCATGAGAGGATGTGACGTTCTTGATGAAGCGCAACGTGCCGTAGTGCCCGAACTTAGAGCGTAAACATCTTCCAAACAAAGCCGGGATTGAGGGGAAACCCAAAGACGATCGTGATGAGGACAATGTGCAGGGATTTAACGAGAAAGTGGCTTCCAATCCTGATGATTCTGGTCATGATGTGTACGGTGACATCATGATGACGTCCGTGGCGATGGGAAATATGCTCGGTGACTAAAGATGTTGGTGATGGAGTTGTCTCTCAGTGGCGGATCTAGGATTTTCAAAAGGAGGGGGAGGGGGTTTGAGGGGTGGCGGGCTGCGTTGGTATTGATGCCCAAGATTTTCAATGGGGAGATGTTGCAGTCAATGCATACAATTACCAATCTGGCCTGAAGCAATTATTCAAGATATGCAACGTTGAGTGATGACGCTATTGGGGAACTCGGAAATCTAGATATATTTTTCCGTTCCGTAAATAATTCACATTAGTCAGTCGTAGAAGGTTGGGGGGGGGGGGGGTTAGTTAGTATATACCCAATCATCCCCTCTGGTATAAGCCAGTGGTGACTTTACTTGCCATAATGAAGATAACAATATAAACTATGGAAAAGAGTGACAGACATGATTCGTCATGTTTCATGTTTCTTTGTCATAGATTTTATTTTTTTTATATTTGCAATGAAAAACCAAAGCAATATCAAATACATTTAACTGGTTGATTCGTTGATTTGGACAATTATACGTTACGCCCGTGAACGGGAATAATCATCTTTACAAGATTTCAATTCCCTAAAAATAACAATCCAATGTCGACATAAAAAAACACCATAATATTATGGCACATAATATAGCAGTGTTGACACCTTGACACAAAATGTACAATAATTGTTGAGCGTTTATTTCGTTATATATACACACACAATAAAGAAACCTCTCTTTTCTTTATAAAAGCTTCACAAGCATTAGAGCTATAATTTTAATTTAAAAAGTAGAATTGCACTTCTAAAAAAGCAGACTATTTAATAAACGAATTAAAAATAGAGAAAAAAAAGCTGAATTGTCCAAAAAGAAAAGTCCAATCACGGTTCTTGAATAAATTGTTCAAAATAAATTTTCCTGCCGCCTATCAGTAAATG